GTATTTTCTTGAATTGCTGTATTTGGAAAACAAGTTCTGGCATTTTTGTGTTTTTAACTTTATATCCAACACAGCAACTGAATACATGGGACAATAGACACCAGGAGGTGTCTACACATCAGGAGAGCATGAGTTTTAATCCTGCCTTAGGGATGAAAGTGGGCTAGGTGACCTTGGGCCAATCTTTGTCTCAGAGCCTAACTTACCTTACAGAGTTGTTGCTATGGGCAAAATAGGAGGAGTATTGGATACATATCTTTGCAGAAAGGATTTTCTTTTTTTTAGGCCTTTTTAATGTTATTTCCCATTATATTATAAATTCATCTCTGCTGAAAAAGTAATCTATTAGTATAGGATGGGTATGTATATAAGTTGAGCCAGCAAGAACCACACTGAAAAGGCACGCAACAATATCTTCTGGATTCCCTTAGTTCATTCCAATTAAGTTGTTTTTATAGACTTTCAGACATCATAACTGAAAGGAATGAAAGGAAATAGCTTTATTATTTTATCTCTTTGTATAAAGCAGGGTTGGGTAACTATGATAACTTTAATACCTGTGGACTTCAACTCCCAGAATTCCTGAGCCAGCCATGCTAACTCAGGAATTCTGGGAGTTGAAGTCCACAGGTATTAAAGCTGCCATACTGTAATTACCCACCTCTGATATAAAGTAATTCTGTTTGACAAAAATAGCTTAATTGGTCAAAGACAACATTATATTCAGATTAAGAAACTTACTGGCAAGATTAAGGGTACATTTGAGGTTTTCTATATGTATCATTCGTAATACTCAGTCTGGTAAGCCTTGCACCATAATAATCTATTATGTAGTTAGAACCGTCAGAAGGACCCACGATCTGGAAAAGAAATTATTACATTGTTAAAAATTCTATTTTAAAATACACACCACACACACATCTTCTGCTATATTCATGATATTGCACACTTTCTTCTATATCCATAATTGTGCATTTATAATGGCTACAAAGCAACTATAAAACTCATAACATGTCTGAAATTCTCCTCGATATAAGCCGACAAATAGCCGGTACTTGTCTGAGGTAAAATGCATTTCCCCAAGAAGTTACAAGCTTGGAAAGACAAAGTGGGACAGAGATAATTTTGGCAGAATATTGGCTTTGCTGTGTAAGCCCACAGGGAGCAGCTTTCACAAAATAGGAGAACCTGCAAAATATATCAACAATTGAAAACAACAAGCATATTTAATTCTTACCTAATCTAATTCTAATGAAATTATTACTTTATTAAAGTAGAAGCTGCACCAATTTGCTTATGACTTTATGAAGTCACAGTGCCACAGTTTGGGGAGATCTGAATTATGATATTAAGAAGATGTTGTAATTAACAAGTTGCCTCTAGGACCAGAAATCCAGGTTCAGATTCATCATCAGTTCAAGCTCTCTGTTTTTTTTTTCCATTTTGTTATATTAAAAATTACATGGAAATTAACTTCTGATGGTATACATGTAGTTTCAAGTACATTTTTCATACTAAATGGGGAAATTTAATTCAAAGGACCTGTGTGTAGGAAAAAATAAAAATTTATATCACAAATATTCTATCAGGACAAAAACAAGAACTGTAAAACTACTAGGAATACAACCAAAACTACTGGAGTTTAATTAACTTTTAAAAATCTTTTAACAGCTTTAACTAAGCAGAACTAATGTATTACATTCTGACTTGTATGCAACGATAGAAACTAAAATAAGCAGAAGCTTTGTGCTAGCAAATGTTTCTGCTACATTTACAATACATAATGAAGATTTGCATATATATGTACTTATTAAACATCCGTTTAATAAAATATTCAAATATAAATGTATTTTTATTTTTTCCAATTTTTAAACATTCTTCTGAACACTACCTTTAATATACAAGCTTCTCTGATAAATTTTCAATATAGGAAAGCTATATAATGATATATGGGCAAATTGATGCTTAGATGTCTAATTGCACAGAATTTGTGTAATAGCAGCAATAGCAATAGCAGTAGACTTATATACCGCTTCATAGGCCTTTCAGGCCTCTCTAAGCGGTTTACAGAGAGTCAGCATATTGCCCCCAACAATCTGGGTCCTCATTTTACCCACCTCGGAAGGATGGAAGGCTGAGTCAACCCTGAGCCGGTGAGATTTGAACCGCTGACCTGCTGATCTAGCAGTAGCCTGCAGTGCTGCATTTAACCACTGCCCAGTCTTTAGTACTTCTCTCCAAGAAGACAGATCATTTCTTACTTCTAGCAATTAGGGTTTATTTTAGGTTGGACTATTAGAGCTTGTGGTCATATGATACTATTATACTATAATCTGTAATTACCCAATTAATTATAATATCAATCCACCTTGGCCTCTTTAGAACCAAGTATTAACAATCTGATTTATTCAACTTCCACAAAACTATTATTTGCAATTATCAGGCATATGTTTCCTACTGTGAGAAATAACTACAGAATCTATATATTATGTACTTTTGTCTCTGGGCAAAAAGGGCAGTATCAGACATGTGAACATTTCTGCAACTAAGAATTGCATAGATGTTTTTAAAATTAGACGAATAGCAGCTATGTGGGAATCTAAATAGTCTGGAATTCAGAGAGTAGTTTAGCAGAGGAAAACAGATTTGAATTAAAGTACTTCATTGTACAAACATCAAAACAAACAAAAAAAAGGTAAGAGCCCATAATTAGATGAAAACTTTATAAGTTTAGTGTAAACACAACTGACTTTGCTTCCAACTTCAAAATCTTTTTAAAGTTCTCAACAAGTAAGACATCAGCAGCAAACCATACTAAAAGTACAAAGCAGTTTGAAACACGAAACATGACTCAAGTTACTTGAGTATCACATCATAAGGCTGACTTTCTGCTTATTTTTCAATCATTATGTTTAGTTTTAAGTCGAAAATAATGGAGCAGTGGCATCCATGAAGTTGTTCAGAAAAAAAGTCTTCATATTTCTAACAGTGCTGCTTATTCTCCTAAGCAAAATCTGTACACAAAACTACATCATGGGAAAGGATAACCTGGTCAGAATTATGTCTTAGCAATTTTTATTATGTGTGGGTCCATCTTGGCTAAGCCTTTAGAAACTTCAACTCATTCAAATCCTGTCATCCATTTATGGTGTGATCTTATTATTCTAACGGAACTTCATAAGATGTTATTTTGTTTCTGGATACAATTCAATAAACTCTTTTGACTTCTAAATCCCTTAGTTTGAGATGCAAGTATTTTAATGGAATATCTGAACCATATAAATCTGAAGAAATACTTATATATTCTCCCCCAGGTACCATCATATGAAGTTAAACAGATGGCCTTTTCTATGAACTCAGCCACCTACAAAAGCTTTCTGCCAAGAAATGGCAGCCTCATACCATTTTTTATTCTGTTTATAGGTAAGACAAATCCTGTCTTACTTACTATTTATTATTTCCATGTATAAAATATTATTCATTTTCTTTTCAAATTACTGTTATTTGTATAGAATCATCAAGCTACTAAAATACGTTGTAAGGACACTTTTCAATAAATAAAGCTGGAAAGCAATAGAAAATTAGGTTAATTTTTACCTTAGGACTTGTGCTATGTATTATTATGCATAAATATGACAAACAGTTCTCTTTATAATAATTACTGACATCCAAATTATAAAACGCAGATACCAGCAAAAACATTAGTTTTTAAGAGTTACACTTTCTATGAAAAAGTATTCATCCCATTTTGGATTTTCTAAGTACTTGCTGATCTTGGCCACTGTCAAGTAACATAATTTCATATAAGCCCCACTGATATTAAAAAAAAACTCTGAGTGAACAAATAACAACTTTTGGGACTTGTTTCATTTGATTTATAAACTAAGCCACTGAATAGTCCATGTCCCAGGGAGAAAAAAATAACTGTCACTTTAGCCTCACAGAAAGTGGTTGCACCCCTTTAAGCAACAAAACTAACGAGTCCTGAAAAAAGATTATTATTCTCTCTGTTTGTTGCAGAGGAATTCTGATCCATCCCTCCAAAGAAAACAGTTTCAACTTAATGCATTTGAGGATTTTCTAGCATGTGCTCACCTTCTTCGATCATACTATATTTCTATGAGGTTTGGGTAAAGGTATTTTAGGTTCAAAAATTGAGTTTCTTCTTCTATATCCATTGTCATGTAAACTTCCTTGTAAGTTTGTGATCAGTCTTCTTGTTTGACTCACGTGTTGGGAACCGCCCAGCAGGCAGGGAGGAGGGATCTAGCCTTGAGTCTTTGTGCAGATGCAAGAGACTTAGGCTTGATCCCTCTTACATTTCATAGAATCTTATTTGTTTATTCCCAAGGGAAGACAAATCAGCATGAGCCTTTTAAAAGGTTCTGCTAAAAAACAGAATTCATCCTTCATTCAACAATGGCAGACTCTTCAGCTCCTGAGGCAGCAAAGCATCTCCCAAACATAATACTACCACCTACCACTGCCATTATTGACAGCTGGTAGAAAATTCCTATTAAGGAGTGCAGTGTTTCACTTGTGACATCCATGTAACCACTTTTGGATGATCTGTTGGTAGAGTACTCTTCCAGAAGTCTAGAGCATCTTCCAGGTTTCATTTGTTTGTCAGCAGACTAAAACAAGTAACAATATTTTTAGTGATTCAAAGCTTCTAATCTTTCACAAATCCCACTTCAACTTGGTATTTTTCTGATGATAAAGTTATAATTATCCATTTTAGCAATGCTCTATTTATATACCACTAGGATCCACATGATGTTCTGATAATAATGTTCAGTTGTAAAAATACGGTAATTGAAAATCCAAAAGGTGGTGGATATTCTTTCACAGAAGAGTACTGCCAAGAATTCTATTTAATAATGTGTCATTTCCTGCACTTCCACCCCACAAAATCTGTTTTTAACAAGTGGTGGGGGAAAATGGAATGGGTTAGAAGCCAATTGAAAAATTATAACACAACAATCTATTATCTAAAAGAATTCCAGGGAGTCATAATATCTCAAACTGCTGATAGAACAGTTAAAATCCTTGTTCCTTCCGTCCCTAATCTACAACACATTATAAAGGGTGCCCCCCCCAATTAGAGCTTTATTGTATGGGGAAAATCATTTGTGATTTTTTGCACAAATAGATAGCTTTGTAATAAGCAAACACCACTAAAGCGTACTGGGCAATGTTTTAATTTTTCAGGTGGAACTCAGAAGAAAATCTAGAATAAATTATCCAACCACTCTTTTTATTGTGTGATGAAATACAAAAATATAATATTCTTGCAGGTTCTCTATTTCATATAGGAGTCCTCAATTTACAGTCCATTTAGTGACCGTTCAAAGTTATAATGGCACTGAAAAAAGTAATGATTGGTTTTCACACTTACGACCATTGCAACAGCCCCATGGTCACGTGATCAAAACTTGGATGCTTGGCAACTGGCATGTATTTATAACGGTTGCAGTGTCCCGGGGTCATGTGATAATCTTTTGTGACATTTTGACAAGCAAATCAATGAGGACTTCAGATTCACTTAACAGCCATATTGCTAACTTAATAACTATGGTGATTCATTGAACAACTGTGGCAAGAAAGGTCGTAAAATGGGGCTAAATTCACTTAACAACTGTCTTGATTAGCAACAGACATTTTGAGCTCAATTGCAATCATAAGCCAGGACTACCTGTATTTGCTGAATATGTAAACCTCTTGATATTCCAGCTTGACATCTATATAAGCCACTGTCACTTAAGAATACAAATTGAATATAAATAAATAAAAAGGAGGAACTTACCTAATGCAGGATATCCTAGATAAAACCGGTCTGCTCCCAACCAGCCAAGAAACAAAGACAGAGCTACTGCTACTTTATAGGAGTAACCATTTCTAGAAATAAAAATAGGAGAGAAAATTGCTGAATAAGTTTTTGAATTCATTTTCTTCACTCCATTAATTATTTAACACTAGAACTTTCAAACTGTCAAACCTGAAGCAAATGAAAACCCAGCTATACTTAACACCAAACAATAATATAAAAAGGAGTGAATGATTTCTCCATTATTAGACCATTAATATTTCATGCGAGAAAGAGACATTGCAGGGGTTGAATACAATTTCGGACTGGGCTTCTCTTGTACAAACACAAACCCAGTAAAGCCAGTGTTACTTACTATAGCCAATTTTATAGAACAAAGTAAAAACAAACTAGTGTCTCTATTGATTTTCATACCTCAATATTTTCTCATGCAATAGCAACAAGTACTGTATATATCCTGGTTTGAATTACTTGAATTCAAACTTGAATTACATTTTAATTTTTCCAGATATAGAGAAAAATCAAAGGTAATAAACTGTCATTTTAAATGAGGAATTCTGCACTTATCATTCTAGCATTACATGGTAGTCCAAAAATAAGAGCACAAAAATGCTAGCACCTTTGACTATTCTACAAGCCAAATCTTTGATTAGTAGTTCAGTATCTCCACTATTCATACCATGTCATAGGTGCCAGTTGCAAAGATAGAATTCAAACTAAGACATTGAAGATTTGTTTCTCTTGTCATATACGTATACATCCAAAGTAGACTGTGTTGTTTCTGTGTGTTATATAATACATGTGGATATATGCATAATTTTGTATTTATTTATTTATTTTGTCATGTTTATTGTAGCGTATGTTGGATGTGGAGATCCTTTGAGAGCTGTATGTAATGAAATTTCATTTTAATGTATGCTGATTACTGTACATTCAAAGTGACAATAAAGTTATTCTAAGTTCTAAGGGAGGTAAAACCTTGTCAATGAGATTCACTTCCCAAATGATAACAAGATTGTAATATAAAATAGGGAGGAAGTCCTTGTCTAATTTCTATCAATTCAGTTCTTGAACACTCTACATAAAAACTCTTTACACATAACAACTGATTAAAACAATTAACTTACTTCAATTTATAAGTAGTAGCTACATGAACTATATGTGCACTAAGTCTCGATTAATTCTGAACTAAAGCATCTACTCATCTGTTTATTCTAATGGGCTATGTGTTTGTAACAGACTTTCTGATTTTCAAATTAACCTGCTTCAGGACTGAAGAAGTACATTAACACCAAGTAAATAAATATTATACATACAATCTTATATAACTCTTTCACTTTTTCAAAAAAATTCTCACTAATTCTTTGAATCACACATTTATTATGCAAATGTTTAGTTATGCTGATCATGCACATATATAATTGTAGCAATACATCAAGAGTGAAAATCAAATTATTGACATCTTGAACTAGTCAAGAAACAAATTGGTAGACAATAAAGTAGGAATAACATCCGTTATTTATAGTTAGCACAAATCACGTTAGCCTGCTGCAGCAATATATGACTTTACCTTCAAAGATTAAACAAAAACCTATGCTTAAATCAATCTCTATAAAGATAAAGCAAATTTTTGAGCATATTATACATGAAAATAGTTCAGCTTAGATATTCCTACCCCATGAAAAACAGTAGTCATGCCAGTTTACAGCGCACACCTGACCTACCTGTGATTGTAAAAATATACCACCAGTTTGTAATCAGAATTAATTTAACTCAGGGGTGTCAAAAACTCAAGGCCCAGGGGCCTGATCCAGCCCGCAGGGTGCTTAGATCTGGCCCACGGAGCCACCCTGGAAAAAGTGAAGGCCTGGCCCAAGGTGCCTCTTCCAGCAAAAACGGAGCTCGGGAGGGTTGCACGTGGGTCCTCCCAAGCTCCATTTTCGCTGGCAGATGATTGCAAGAGGCTGTTGCAGGAGAAAATGGAGCTCGGGAGCCCATTTTCTCTGATAGAGCACTCGGGCCATCATAGGTGTCCCTGACATAAGTGATGTCGAGTTGGCCATGCCCACCCTGGCCACACTTTCTCCGGTCCCCACCAAGGTCAAACACAACCCTGATTAAATTGAGTTTGACACCCCTGATTTAATTGATTTAACATACCCAGAATGTTGAGTTCCAAACTGCTCTCCTATCTTCTTTTCCAATCAACAGTTACTTAGTGGATTATGTTTCAATCTGTCCATTGACAGGTACAATCCAATCCATTAATAATCTTCCCTCTCCTAGGATTTTCTGATCCCAAGTATGATAGCTATATGATCAAGTAAAGCAGGTATTAATTAAGACAGGTCTAGTATTTCTACTCCATTTCTACCAGAACTGAAAGGAAAGTACTGCAGCACATTTCAAAACAATAAAGGTACATATGCAAATATGTAATTAAGTTCTATAATTAATACATCAAATGCTCACTATCAATTGAATTCTTACATATTAAACAGAGCTACTACTTACACACTTCGACACTCAATGGGTTTGTAAAATCCAGTTTCATTTCCAGTAAACTGAGTTTCATTTCCACTGAAATCTTTACAAGTAATATTTGGGGCTGGAAGACAGGCAACTAAGGACATAAAAATAGCAGCAGCATTATATATAGGACAGAAAACATTTCAAATGTAGAACACATAAAGCAAATATCTTCTTAGCAAGACAACTAACATATAGCAGATATTAAATTTAATCTTAACTTTAGTATTTTAAAGAGGAATAAATTAACTTTAAAACTAAATATACAGTAAAAAATTAATTTGCATCTGTAATATTAATTCATGCCTAAAATATATGTACAGCCAAAAAAACATTTACTGACAATAGCCATTATAACAGTATGAAGGTTTTTAATCTGCTTTTCTTTAATTTTTTTAAGTTGTTGTATTATATTTGTTGCTTTTATTTTATTAATGATTGTTGGTCAGCCACCCAGACTCATATATACGAGGTGGACAGCAGTATAAATTGTAATAAACACATCACAAATTTTGTTAATTCATCTCAAGTATTTTTGCAGGGAAAGGCCCCATATCTACTTTAAATACAACAAATTATATGATATTTAAGAGGAGGAAACATATACAGTTCATCCACTGGAAGCATATGATTAAGGAATATGCAATATTAAACATATTATGTAACTCTTACCATATGCAGTGTGGTTAGTACACTTCATGGGTTCTTGGGTTGCATTGTCTATTTTAGGATGTTCGCATATATATGTTTGTATAATTAAGGAAAACAAATATAACCCAAGTTTCTGCAGTAGATTAAAACTAGCATCATGATAGTATTGATTTCAATTAACCAAAAACTGTATGGGCTGAAATGGGCATATTTCCTTCTTTTACCCAGAAAAATAAGCGATACAGCAATATTTCAGTTGGGAAGCTATTTTAATCAACAATGTAGCCACCCCTGGCCTGAAATTTTCCAATACTCTGAGACCAGAACTACCAGAATTTCCTGTCATAGCAGTACATTGGGAAGGCATCATATTAGGGAAGATAAACAATAGGTTTAACAATGCAATAAATAGTGGGTTCACTATAATTATTTCTTTGGCTTTACAATGTTGTACAAACTTATCCACTGAGCTTTCTAAACCATGGCTTATGATTTGCAGTTATATAAAAACTAACCAATTTTGGCTGTTACAATGAAACATGCTTGGCCGAACTATACAATAAAGGTAGTCCTCGACTTACAACAGTCCATTTAGTGACTGTTTGAAGTTACAATGTCATTGAAAAGGGACTTATTTTTCACACATATGACTGTTGCAGCGTCCCTATGGTCACTTGACTTCAATTTGGATGCTTGACAACTGGTTCATATTTATGACAGTTGCAGTGTTGGAAAGTTGCAGGAAGCAAAGTCCATGGGGAAGCCCGATTCACTTAACAACGGTGTTACCAATTTAACAACTGCAGTGAGTCACTTAACAAATGTAACAAGAAATTAGCAACATAAATTCTGGACTCCTACGTCGAGGACTACCTGTAGTATCTATTCACTGCAAGGATCAGAAAAAAGTAAATTAGATTTTGTTCTGGGCCCATTGCCCACAGGGATGTAGTTAAGTGCAAATACCTAGCTCCTCAAATGTTGCAAAGCCTGGCTTATTATGTATTAACCCAGCCACAAATTTCTCCCCCAGATCTCTTTCCACTCATAAGGGGTTTAAGTGGGTTATAGTCATTCCATCCTAGGCTTATTAGCTGCTGCTATTAAGCCTTTGGTCCAGCAATCCTGGGTTGCTGGAGCCAAGGTGGCGCAGTGGTTAAATGCAGCACTGCAGGCTACTGCTAGATCAGCAGGTCAGCGGTTCAAATCTCACCGGCTCAGGGTTGACTCAGCCTTCCATCCTTCCGAGGTGGGTAAAATGAGGACCCAGATTGTTGGGGGCAATATGCTGACTCTCTGTAAACCGCTTAGAGAGGCCTGAAAGGCCTATGAAGCGGTATATAAGTCCACTGCTATTGCTATTGCTATTGTAGTCAATAACCAGTATTCCACTTTTGACTACTATCTGCCATTTAGAACTACAGTGGTGTAATTCAGCAGGTACAGCTTCTTCAAGCACCCGGCTCATAATGCTTCACACAACCTTTAGATTAGAGACCCGTCCCCGCCCCCTTCCTGCTCCCCCTCCCCGCAAAGCCCATCACCACGGTGACCGGGCTCCCTTGGCATCCTTCCGCCTTCAGGATATTGGCCGATTCGCAGATCTTCGCACTTCAATGGAGCATCGTCGCTCGCCACACCCCGAGCCGCGAAATAAGCCAGCCACAAAGTCCACAACGGCCAGAGGGGTACCATGCCGCCTATCTTCGCCTGGCAGCGGCTTCTCCTTCCATTCCGGCCCTGTTGGAAAAAAGAAACCTCCTCCTCCTCCTCAGACGTTGCCGTAGTAGTCCTTTCGCGGAACGCTCGACGCCATCGCGGAGCGCGCGAAGAAGGGCAGAGCAGACGCTGCGTCTCCTGTCGGAAATGGGAAATATGCCTTGCCCGTCACAAAGATGGTCGCCTTTCCCCATTGTTTTCTTTAGGGACGAAGGCAAAACCCGCCGGCTTCTTCCCGGGCAACGGCTGCAAGAGACATGAAAATGGGAAGCCGAGCGCCCTTACTAAAAATGGCTATTCGGGTTGAAAGCAACGGAAGGAAGTAACCCGAGATTGACCTTTTGTTGGGGGGTGGGGGATTCAGCCGGCTGTTTCCTTTGCTGCACGACGTTTAGGTTCCCAGTTTCAATTGGTTAAGTGAGTCCTGATGGGAGGCAGGAAGAAACAAATACGGAGCAAAGCAGCGTTTGTTTATTTTTATTTTATTTTGTTTGGCTTGTCAAGCATGTATAAGAAAACAAGTATAATTATGAATATAACATATAAACATATAAGTATAAGCGGGTATGTATATACATAAGAAATGAGTACAAATAAATGGGAACAGTAGGACAGGGACGCCTTCGCACATAACCCACCGTGATGTATTGTGATCTGTACACACAAATTGTTTGGGTTGGGGAGGGAGGAACCACGGTCATAATTCTGCAGTTGGGTGGATCTCGGGCTAAAAATTGGAGCTCTGGAGCAGTGGTCTTCACACTTGGCAACATTAAGACTGATGCATAGCTGGTTGGAGAATTCTGGGAGTTGAAGTCCACCAATCTTAAAGTTGCCAAGTTTGAAGACCTCTGCTCTGGAGAAACCACCCGTGTTTGATTCAGTGTATCCGGCTTTTTCCCAATGCCCTCCTATCCACCCTGCCAGATGCTGATGAGCCAGTTTCAGCCACCGGGATACTGATTTACCTTCGTGAACTTTGTGGTGCCTATAAAAGAATATATTTTCTATTATCCCCAACAGCACGACTACCAATTGGGGGACCGATGTATTTGCAAGCAACTAATACTATGTATTGCTTTACTAACATTCGATAGCATCAAGAAGCCTACTATCCCTGTCCTACTGTCCCCACTTATTCGTTTCCATTTCCTGTATTCATAATCATGTTTTTACTTATATCTATTATCTTATTCATGCTTGACAAAATAAATAAAATAAATATCTTCCTTCTCAACTATTACCACCATCACCAAACGGAAGATATTTGTGATTTACTGGATAGACATTTTTTTGGGAAATGAAATTAGTACTTAGTGTACAATCTGACTGATTTCTCCTTTTCTTGGTTACCTTGGTACATCTAGCCTTTTTGCTGACAAAGTGTCAACTCAGAGTCCACAGTTAGCTTCTTGATGTAGTCTTAGATAACTCTTGTAGTTATGGGATCCATTTTAATTGTTTCGTTTTTAAAGGTATTGCGTAGAAAAACTTCATAGGCTATCATGAAATGTGGGACTTAAGGATTAGCACTCAGTGAATAGCAGCCAAGTATAAAAAACATGGTTTTAATAGCACACAAAGAGAATTTTTTAAAAACCCTAATGACGTTATATTTCTTCTCCAGTAATTCTTTTATGATCTTTTCCCGGAACAGTGATTCTTGGCTATTGTTTAAAAACTTATTTTCAATTACAATTGATCTCTACTTTCTTTTCCTTTATTGTACCCAATAATTAACTCCAAACAGTTATCAGACCTCAGAGATAGAGTACTCTATCCTTCCCTTCTTAACATAGGAAATGTTTTATTGTTATCAGCCACTTCATCAGCTATAAAAAGGACAAGAATGGCCACCCTTTGAAAAAAACAGCCCTTAAGTAATAATGGCAGTTCAGAATGGTCACTTTTGTGTGAATAAGTGGAATAAATGCAAGGTAGTCCTAAATTGGCATACGAAAAAGCGAGGGTTCCCAAATTTATGTTACTTTCTGCAAATCAATTTGTTTCTGCTGCTGTATTATTTTAAATGTTAAATTAATATTAGAAGAGATGCCTGGAAGAAAAGCCAAACCAGGGACTAGATAACTCTGAGGATTGGAATGATAGGTTCCCTGCTGAAGGGAATAGGACAGCTGTGAAATAATAAACTAGGGATACCAAAAAAAACTCTGGGATAAGAAGAGCAGCTTTTAAGAAGAATACAAACTTGATGATGACAGAAGTTGTGGAGTGTACATATATAACAATTTTCTCATTTTGTAAGTTTCACATGTCCTGGATTATAATTTCCAGATAGTATGTCATGCTGATTGAGAATTATGAGACCTGTAGTTCAATGCATCTGAATATAGTAGGGTGCCTTGCTAGAGGACTAAGTCACCTCAATTGGAAAGTATGCTTCATTCCATAATAGGTTTAGAGAAGCAACCCAACTTTTATCACTTTTAAATGAAGCAGTCCCAATACAGTACAAAGTAATATAAATGCAGAGGTTATACTATTTGAGTAAAGATGTTCCTAGGTATTAAAAAAATGAAGCCTGCCTGCATGAAGTTTAGTTTACAGTATATTGGTAAAATTTGTTTAAATTGATGTTTTTACTGTATTTTTGGGGGGTTGCAATCCAGTTTTATTTGGGGCTGATATATAAATATGTTTAATAAAATCGATGAGTTATATTGAAATCCACACAATCTTATACAATATGTACCTACACAGCAGTTCCCTTGAAGGTAGCGAGGCTTATTTTCAAGTTAGTGGTCACTGATGACTTCATTCTAACTCACTGTCAACAAATGTCCCCAGTCCCTACATCTGGTGGAGGCTGCTTCAGATAGCATATCAAGCAAACATGGTGTCTATGGGCTGAGTTTGGTACTTTCTTCATTCATATGCTTCAAAATAGCAGCCAGCGGTGTTTTCCTTCTCCAATACCACACATTGATTTAAAAATTCTTGTATTTGTTGCGATAGTAAAGGACAGATATTTGCATGATTTTTGCCATGTGGTTAATTTTTAGTGCTTATTTCATGTCAGGCAGCAAATGTTCTTAGACCAGGGTCTATTATTTTAAATATTGTATGCCTTCTTTTGAAAGATTATGTTAATGCATATTTTCAACAGCAGTCTAATTCCTACAACTTTTAAGTCTCCTTTTAAAAGTTCATTTAAAAGAATGAACTTCATTGGTTCCTTATTTATTGTCAGAGAGCAGATTAAAAAAGCCTGATATGATCATGAGGCAATGACATATTAGCAAACTACCATTTAAACCTCCTAAACAGCAATGTACCATTCCAAAGCAGAATAAGTTTAAGCTTTTTGGCTTTTACTGGCAACTGCAAAGGGGCAAACCTCTGTGACATTCTTAAGAGGCTGCAGTAAAGATGCCATCTAATGGAAATTGTAGAGCATCCAATTTGGTTCATGCTTAACGATTGGATATGACTACAGATCACCAGTCAAAGCAGACTGGACAACGCAACAGGATCTGCATCAGTGGTAGGATCTGGCATAGACTACCGAGGTGCGCCATGCGTGCGCAGTACAACTATAATTGCTCTGTGCATGTGCAGAAGCAAAAAACAAGATGGTGCCGCCAGGAGAACCAGTTTGGGGGCCTGGCAGGCCTGGGTTGCTGCTGGTTCCAGTGACCCAGGCCACCAAGCTACTAACAGTTCGGCCGAACCAATCTGAACTGGTAGGAACCCACCATTGATCTGTGTTATAATTTTTTGGATATATCTGAGCATCTGTAATAACAATCTGGGCAAGAACTTTTAAAGTCAAGCTTCCATCAGCTTTTTGTATTTTGCAATAGCAAAGAGATTATTCCCTGAGGCAGAATTTGGAGCCTTAGATCTTCCAGGGTGTAGATCAAGATTGGGAACATCTTATTTAATTCAAGAAATAGTTTTCTTCATTTGTAGCCTTTGAGTTGGGAGGCTAAAGACAGAACAACCATGAGCAGTGATTGTCTTAAATTTATAAGAATGAATTAAGCACTGAATCACTCTTCAAGTGTAGCTTCAGCTAATATGTTAGGTAACTTTTTTTTTTGCAAGCCACTATAAAAATAGATCCTAGTTCAAATCTTATTATAAATATGAATAAATTGAGGGGCATGGAAAATAATTCTTACATATTTAGCTAGCTTTAATCTAAAGCTTTTAAGTCTTACGATAAGAGTTGTATACCATTAAGCAGAACTGACATCTTAGTACTGAACAATTTTACTGCTACTGAACAAAATTGTTACCTTTATGGCTTACATAGCTAACTATAGTATTTGTGCATTGGATGAAACTTTGTGGATTTATTATTATTATTATTTAGAGGATGAATATTTAAAACACTTAATTTGTTTTGATGCCATTGATATGGCATTTATATTGGCAACTGCAGCATGTTTTGGTAAATAGGAACACCTTTGCTTTTATAGAGTTAATTGCAAGCTTTTCTTGGTGGCAGAAACTGGCTAACACTTAGGTAAGTTTTCTCAAGGTCTGCCTGAGACTCAGAAAGAATAGCAGCCTTTGTTTTGTAACAGTACAAGGCAAGTCTCTGTGTTACTACTTGGCAAGAAAGCTTGCTGGTTGATAAAGCCTGCACAGAACTGTTCAAATGAAAACTGGATAATGGAGGAACAAGAATACAAACTTGTTTAACATCCATTTAATTTACTATAATTTTAGAGATTTGGTCACCCCTGCACCTTGTCCTTTTTTTTAATTGGGCTCTGAGTTTTGAGATATTTTTAATGGCTACTGGGAGTTATTCTAGCAAGTGAATAAGTAAGACCAGCCTTTGATTGATTTTATTCAATTTGTAAATCTGCTCAACTCACCAGAGCAATCCTGAGCACCAGAAAATGAAAAACATTAGTATAATAACAATGGATAGAAATATAAACATTACATGTTCTTTCATGACAAAAATCTACTTTATTACTACCTGATAATGATTCACTCACTCTTTAGTAAGATCCAACTTCCCATGTCACACATGTGTTTGAGAGAATTGGTGACCAGGCCTTGTTATGATTTTTGTTACTGTCATTTCATCTTTTTCAGGAGAGCTTTTATACCATATGGTTCCATCTATTATATTACAAAATTTTACTCCAAAGATACCTAATCCATACAATATTAAACCAAAATGTGATTTGTTTTTTTTTTTAGCTTGATATATAAACCCACTCACTGCATTATTGTCTGAATATAATAAGTTTCATGTAAATTTTCCACATCCTATTGCCATTAAACTAGGACTGCAATTTCAGTAACAATCAATATTCTCATTTATTGAAACTGCATCGTGTAAAGAAAATAACAATTACGTGATCTCAATAGAAAATTTGAATGTATTGATTCACTTGGTTTGCATATCTTTAATAGCTTGAGCCACACAAATCCTTGATTTTCAGAAGCTATGAAGCACTTATGCTTCTTATTATTTATTAATAATGTTTATACACAACCCAAACCCCAAAGGATCTGGGTTTTTAAAATAAGAGATAAAGTGTAAAAAAATAAAGCAACAGATAATTTATTTCTTCCCATCTCATAACAATTCTGAGGGGTTTGAAAACAATACAATAACATAAAACATAAACAAAAAACAACAACTGAGGAAACACTCTAAAAGATCCTTTGTAACTGCAGTGGCAGGATTGAGCTTGTAAGTAAATGAATGGGAGTCTCTTCTCCCAGAAGCCTTTTGGGTCTATACAATTTAAGTCCTTTGGTGCAATAGTTTGATAGTTATTGCAACTATAGGTAACCCTTGCTTAATGACTGGAATTGGAAATAGAGTTTCCATTGATAAGTAACATAGTCAAAAACTGTAATGTCACTTGAATGTACCACTTTGCAACAACACCTCCAGCAGTCTCAACTATTGTTGTTAAGCAAGGACCTCGTGGAACCAGGACTGGCTTTCCCATAACTTTGCTTGTGGGAAGACCTCAGGGAAGATTGCACCAAATTGTGATCATGTGATGCAGGCACATTGCAACAGCCAGCCCTACAAGAACTGGTTCAGTGCTGATGCAAGTTCAGTCACTGAATGAATGGTTCTTAATCCAAGCGTACTGATACTATCTATTTTCCAGGAAGTATCTCACTTGGTATGAGCCAGGAAACTAGGTCTCCACAATCTGTGTTGCTTTCTAGCACATTAAAAGGAGGGGAAAGCAATGAAAAAAGAAAATTAATTTCTATACTGCCACTGCCCAACTCAGGCATTTGGCTGAAAGAATGTTAGCTCCTTTTACCACCTCTGTGTGCACACAAATTTCACAAGAGATAGTTAAAATCACAGTTTATTAGGGGGTGGGTGGTGAGAGGAACATGTAAAAATTATTTTTTAACATTACGTAGTCAACAAACAAAATATTAATGTCAAAGGAGATAATAGGTGTTCAGACCACAAACATCATCTTAAAAGAATGTCTATGGAAATTCTCAAGTCATTCATATCATGGTTGTTCCAAAGGTGTTTTTTCAAAAAGCAGCTGGACTTTCTTTTTTCCCCTTGAAGATGTTTCACTTCTCTTCCAAGAAGATTCTTCAGTTTCGGCTTCAGAATTGATGAAGCTTCCTGGATGAGAAGCAAAACATTTTCAAGGGAAAAACAAAGATAGTCCAGAAAAAGCACCTTTGTGATATCTTAAAAAAAATTGCATACAAAAATAGAAATTAGAACCTCTGGCATACCACAAAATGATGCTAATCTGCTTGTTTTTACATACAGCTCTGCTACACTGTATTGAAGTATTGAAGATCCAATTTACAAAACATAGTTCTTGAAATGGTATAGAATCAATCAATGTCTGGTACTAAATATTACATTTTAAATACATGAAGATAAAATTAAAACAACCTTATGTCATATTACTATTTTTTTTCCCTTTTCCTATTGAGAATTGATGCTGTTTTGGAATATATGTCAATTTGTTACTGAAAAACCAGAATATTCCTGTATATTCAAAATTAAATCGGAGGTCAAGAATAGATCTTCAGCTTTGGTCAGCAACTTCTGTCTCAGGTAAAACAAAACAAAAATCCTCTAGCATTAAAAGAGGATAATTTGCAATCTGATGTTTAAGTAGAATATATGCAATTTATCTGGTGTGGAGATGAATTCTGATGGAATGTGAACATGATAGCTTTACAACAGTTAACAATGTGAAAGTAGCCACACAAATACAGGTAGTCTTTGATTTACAACAGTTCATTGACCGTTCAAAGTTACAACGGCTCTGAAAAAAGTGACTTATGACCATATTTCACACTAAAGACCATTTCAGAATCCACATGGTCAAGTGATCAAAATTCAGACACTTGGCAACTGGCTCATATTTATGACGGTTGCAATGTTGCAGGGTCATGTGATTACCTTTTATAACCTTCTGACAAGCAAGATCAACGGGGAAGCCACATTCACTAACAACTGTTTTACTAACTTAACAACTGCAGTGATTCATTTAACTGTGGCAAGAAAAGTCATAAAAATGGGACAAAACTCAGCAAATGCCTCACTCAGCAACAAAAATGTTGGGCTCAATTGTGGTGGGAAGTCAAGGATTACCATAATAACATTTCTGAAAGCATTAAGAGATACAGTACCAGGTGAAGTCAACCAATCACACAATGAAGTGATATATACATGATTCTATCAATAAAACAAATGTTTTATTTAGCACCAAGAAATCCATTAAACTAACTTCTTTGGTATGATCATTTGCAAACTGAGATGCTAATTCTATCCTTCTAAAACTGACATGCTGGATCTCATTTGGAGGGTCACCTAGGGAAGAACCTCTGAGGTTGATCTTTAGTTCTTGGCAAGTATCCTAGCACTGAAGTGATCCAGAAATTAAATGAATCCAGAAATTCTTGGAAGCCAAAGAAATGTGTTGACATAACACTCAGTCCCAGATCAAATTAATTTAAGCATAATAGGGGTTGTTAAGAGTTGATCTTTGACCAGTAACATAGGCGTATCCCTTGTTGCTTTCATGTTTCTGGACACGAAATCAACCTTAACATAAAAAAACCACAATGTACTATAACAGTGATGGCTAACCTTTTTGTTGTTGGGTGCCAAAAATGCGAGGGCTCGTGTGTGATAGTGTGCATGCCAGCACCCATAATGCAAAGCGCCCCCATGCGCATATATGCACAACCCCCCCACTCCCCCCCCCGTGCGCACCACACTTGCCTCCAAGCTGAGCTTGTTATTTCCTCTGGGAGGGCGGGGGATGTCATTTTCGCCCTCCCCAGGCTCCAGGAAAGCCTCTGGAGCTTGGGAAGGATGAAAAATGGGCCCAATGGGCCAACTGGAACAAACTTCCAGGAGGCCCATTGGGGCCGTTTTTTGTCCTTCTCAAGCTTCAGAGGCTTTCCTGAAGCCTGAGGAGGGCAAAAATGGCCTCTACAGGCCCCCCCGCCCGAAGGCCAAAAATCAGCTGGCCGGCACACCTATGCACGCTGGAGCTGACAGCTCGCATGCATACGCATGCCACCTGTGGCAAGTGTGCCATAGGTTCCCCATCATGGTTCTATAACATCTAGCTTTTCACAAACGTTGTGTAGCAATTTCATGAGTAGGATTCACACATAAGTGATTGCTATCAAGTCCTATAGATAGTGGGTACAATATAAGTACATACAGAGAAAAATTTAATAAGGAAAGAAAGAAAAAATCCCGATTGCCATTTCATGGAACTAACAATTTACCTATTATCTATACAGTTTAAAAAAACAACATTTTTCGTTGATGTTCTTTTTGGAAAGGAAAAAAATCCTATTTCCCCACAGCTAGTTAAGGTCATCCAAAGGCCGTTTCTTCTCTTTAAAAGACGCACCCCTTCCTGTTTCTATGTAATTCTATTAAATATAGATTTTTAAAAAAGCAAGCACAGGCAACAAAACAGCTGCTGTCTTGTGATGCCTGAATATTGGGTTTTAGTTTGGCTTGCGGCTGATTTCACAAGCAAGTGGTCCTCTCAGCTCACAAATGTTTGCTTATCAGCCCTTTCCCCATTTACACCTAACGAAAATCAACGGCGTCGCAGCCTCCCTCCTTTTATGGTCCCCGACGGACACGTTCCCACGACCCAACCACGTTGTCCACCCAAACACTCCTGCAAGGGTGGCCAATAATACAAGACTCCCCTTCCCATTCCTCATTTCCCAGCCTTCTGCCCCGAAACTAACCCCATCGGCATGCGGGGGGGGGAACGGGGGTTCCTCCACTCCGCGACCCCAGCGACCCCCCCGCTTCTCGCCCCGCGGCAGCTGATCTCTCGCCCTCGTCTACCCCGAAACCCGTCGGGAGCCCGGCTTGATTTCCTTCAGCGCCCAGCGGCTCCCCCTCGCTGCCGGCTTCCTGTGTTGCAAGGAGAGGTGCGGGTAAAAACGAAACTCCCGCTTCCGCCCAGGTAAGAACAAGCCAGGATCGCCCAGCGACAGGTCTTGCCCCCAGCCGAGCAGGTAAGCTTTTCTGCCCATCCGGGCGCGCTCCCGGCCACCTTCCCGCCCTCCGGGAAGCCCCCTTCCGCCGTTGACCCTCTTGAGGGGAGGAGAACCGGCGGGCAGGCGCTGGAAGATGCAGCCAGTCGAGCTTTTGCGTTGTGCCCGCCGCCCACTTCCTGAAGGCTGGAAGCGTAATGGGGGAAAAAAGACTTGGGGAGAACTTGTTGCGCTACGGGTGGGCGGGTTTGCGGAGCCTTTATGGTGGGGCGTCCCTCCCTCCTCAAGATAGGGTTTTTCTTTGGCGTCCACAGCTACTATCTGACTAGATCCGACCCCGATTGCCCCTATAGATGCTGGGAAATCCTACTGGATTTCCTCGGGTGACTTTGCCCCCCGTCTCCTAATCGTGGCAAGGGGCCGCTTATTTTGAAAGTCGCCCGGGTTGAAGCCTGAGAAAACAGCTTAAAGCCGCTAAAGCTAAGTGCAAAGTACAGGCGTGACGGGATATTTTCAGCTTGGCCGGTAAACGTTACACAGCAGCGGCAGTGTTGTGGTTGTGCCGTCTTAGCTGCCAACGAGCCAACAGTTCTGACCTTTGATTTAGAGGTGGGCTTGGATCTCTTGCTGGCTTGGGTGCTCTTTCCTTGCTGGTAACTGGATTCGGGGAAAACCCAAAAGTGAATGTAAGAAGAGGGAGCTCCTTCCTTGAGGATCTTTGTATTGATCCTCGATCGGCTGTTTCTGGGCTAAACAACCCACCATCATTGATGGAGAACCTCAAGGTTTGGTATTCCTATGTGTTGGGGAACCCCAGACTTGTGCAATTCAATTCCCAGAACTCAAACTCTCTCTCTCTCTTCCTCTCCCTTTATCTCTCTCTCTCTCTCAAAAGATTACTTTTATAAGAGTAATCCTAGTTCATTAAGTGAAGATGTTTATGCACTGAATAGCAAAGAACATATGGAAGAATAGAGGAATAGAAAATATGCTTTTTAGGATAGCTTTTTTCACTTTGGAAATTAAGTACAGTACTATTGCTAGGTAACTTCATTATGAAATCAATATTTAAATAGATTTGCTTCAGAATGCATTTTAACTCCCAGTCTAAAGCTTACAAATAAAGCAAAGTTTAAGTGGTTGTTTTAAAAAAATAAAAGAGGGAATTCTTTCAATCCTCTACTTAAATCTGGACAGACTGGGACAAGTAGAATATTATTATACAGGAGGGTTTATTTAGTGTAGACTCTGTTATGTAAGGATGCTTCAAATCAGAAGAGGGATTAGATGATGATCGATATAATATCTTAGAATTTTCAGTTTCTCTTGTTGGTGAATTTACATCTAAGAATTTACATAATTCCCAAAGCAGGACTGGAGAGAAGGCTTTTGCAATTCCAGGGTCACTGTGCATGAGAAATCCCAGTGAGTTTCCAAGTGCAGTCAGGTTTTAAAAGGCTGTCATGCATATGTATCTATTAATACACAGAAGGCCAAATAAAGAAACTGGAGACTATGATGTAATAAAACACATACCTATCCAGGGAGTAAACTCAGTACAGTTTCTGAATAGGCATACTAATAATCATCTGCAAATACCATTAAATAAACACAGTGTGACTTATTTAACTTATATGTGACTTATTTTATTCCTTAGTTCTCAATGATGTCAGCCAATGTTACATGCCTATCCGAAAGTAATCCTATTTGAAGTCTGTAGGATTTTATTCTTAATTGGTATGCGGTTTTAGCCTAAGGATTTCTTTTTGGTGAGATTCTTTTAAAAACTGATCTTCCATATTCTCTAAAAGTAAGGAAGATTGGGCCTGGGTTAGTACTGGAACTGTAAACTAGACTGACAAGTTGAGAGAACATCTGGCAGAAGATACATGGATTGTATCTGAGATTTAAGGTAGACTTACAAAAGCTTTATATTTAAGCATGTATGAGATCGGTATGTTTTCACTATGCAACAGAGCAAGGACTTCCTAATTGGAAAATGATAATGGTTTTAAATTACAATTCTAAACAATTCAATTCCATTGTCGATTCACATATGAGGTTTTATTCTTAGCTGAGAGTGATGGAAAATATGGAATGCAAACCCCGATTTTGTTCTTATTCTCATCATGCTATGCAAACATAATATGGTGGCTGAACATTATACATAAATATAAACAGAAAGTGTTCTTGAATACTATGCGATGTAAATTGTCCAGTATTACCCTAAACTGATTTATTTATCTGTAGAAGAGAGAGACTTTTGTATTCAACATGGGAAGCCAAGGATAAAACGCAAATTTTGTTATCATGGCTTCTGTTTATCTTGATATGTATGATTATCTTGGTATGATTCCATTTATGATTCTTGATTCTATTGGCAGCAGTGCCCAGTTTATACATATTACAAGATACTATGCATATGAAAGTCATATTAATTTAAGTAATAGCTGGCAACATGATGGAAACATTTTTGTCTTGGTCTAGATTCCATCTGTGTGTAACAAGACCGTCCAGGTATGACTTATGAACACAATTGAGCCCAAAATTTTAGTTGCTAAGCAAGGCAGTTTTAAGTGGGTTTTGCTCTATTTTACCACTTTTCTTGCCACAGTTGTTAAGTGAATCACTATAGTTATTAAGTTAGTAACAAAGGTGTTAAGTGAATCTGGTTTCTCATTGACTTTGCTTGTCAGAAAGTTGCAAAAGGTGAGCACATGACCCCAGGATACTGCAACCATCATAAATACATTTCAAGTGTTCAGGATCATGGGGATGTTGCAATGGCTGTAAGTGTGAAAAACGGTCATAAGTCACTGTTTTCTTCAATGCTGTTGTAACTGTGGACTCGATATATTTAAATAATCTTATTGCTTGTTTAAGATTGAAATGTTCTCTGAATCCACAGTAATACTTTTGCACACATCTATATCAGTTTAGAGTTATTATTCCACATTAAAAGGGTACAGAAAGAAATATAATATGCACTTCTTTCTGTACCCTTTAATACGGCAATAAGTGCAAAATGACATATGTATATGTAAACGTGTGCTTGCCATTTATGTTCTTCAGAGTAAGATATGTTGAAAAACAAAGCTTAATCTGCATCTTCATTCTAAAATTTAGGCCATATTGAATCTACAGCACAGATAAGCCAGGATGCCGGAAAATCCAATTGCAGGTAAGTATTTTTGAAATAAGCTTATCACTTGGTTGAAACATTTCAATTATCTTAAGTATGTTTTTTAATGAATTGTTATGATGTTTTGGGGGATCCAACAGATAAGCAGCAGATCCTAAGGATTCTGGAGCGTCTACTAATGAAACTTCATGAGAAAGGAGACACTTCACACAGTGATAATCTGGCTTTTCTATACAATACTCTCAAGAACCCTTTATTCAACCATGTGCTGACTCTTCAGCAGTCAATAAAGCAGCTGAAAGAACAAGTGAGTAATAAAGGAGAAAGATTTGATGGATGCTGATTGGTTATGTTTGCAAGATAGTTTTGAAATAGTAGTAGTGTTTGTGGGAAGTATCAGGATCACACTAAGATGACTTATCACTTTGCTGTTTGTATGCACACTGAAGCTTTGCACTAAGGGCAAATTCCTTGTGTGTCCAATCTCACTTCGTAAATTAAGAATTCTGTTCCGTTTCGCTCTGCTCTGCTCCGCTCTGCTCCTATTCCCATTCCTTTTTCTATTCCTATTCCTATTCTGCATCTTTTCTCCTTCTTTTAATTCATTCATTAGTAGTTTGATTGAATTAGCTGAAGTTACATAAATAGTGGACAGGATTCTGAGTTTCCAAAAGCTTTTCATCAGACGTGATGGTTTTATGGAGGAAGGAAAAAAAAGAGGGAGATAACTAATATAATTGAAGTTCAGCAATATTCTGCTTTCTCTACCTGCACTTCATCTAGACCAGTGGTTCTCAACCTGTGGGTGGGGACCCCTTTGGGGGGGGGGGTTTGAACGACCCTTTCACAGGGGTCGCCTAAGTCCTTCGGAAAACACATATTTTTGAAAAAATACGGAAAACATAAAACAATCTTATGGTTGGTGGTCACCACAACATGAGGAACTGTGTTAAAGGGTCACGGCATTAGGAAGGTTCAGACTCAATGATCTAGACTTTCTCAACCTTGGCAACTTTGAAAGGTATAGGCTTTAATTCTCCCAAACTACCGAACAATCATTTGTGGGTGCTCCATCACTGGAGGTTTTTAAAGAAGAGATTGGACAGACATTTGGCTGGAATGGCATAGTGTCTCTTGCTTGAGCAGGGAATTGGACTAGAAAACCTCCAATGTCCCTTCCAACCTTCTTATTCTGGTCTGTTAAAACTCCACATCCAGCATAATTATGACTTGTTTGAAGAAATATAAAGGTTGTGACAAATTTGACATGGCAAATCAGGGAAGAGTGATATTTGTACAAATAGTCCTTAACGTGTGACCAGTTAATTCAAAGTTAAGACAGCCTTGGGAAGTTTTTTAGCCCCTAATGCACTTTCTGCTGTCCCCCTCAGTTTTATGATTATGATCTGGATGCTTGGCAGCTGTTCCCACTTACAACTAGTTGCCAAGTGCCTCATGATCATAGGATCACATTTGCAATCTTTCGTGCTAAAGTCAATTGTGAAGCCAGCAAGGAAGGTTGCAACTACTCCTGTCTGCTGTGAGGACTTCCTCTCATCACTGGGACTTGGCTGATGGTGTGACCAAAAGGAGCTACCAAGAGGAGCAGAAATGGAACTTAGATCCAGAATATCCAAACTCCTTTGAGATGGTCCACTAGAGCAGTTCCCTTCCATGTATATTCCACTTAACAGTCTGGGAGATTGTTTAATGGCCACAACTGGGATTGCAGTCATTGAGCAAAGCAGTCACACTATCTCACTTAACAACTGCTTTCCTTAGTGTCTGAGATTTTGGTCCCAATTGTAGTCATAAGTCAAGGATTCTCTTATACATTACTTTTGTGTGAAAATACATGGCAGAACTGAACACTTTTGACAGTTTAAAAATAATCAAGAACACTTTATTAAAAAATATAGCATTAAGAATTGAATCAAGGTTTATCTATTATATTTTTATCCTGATAAGGCTCTCATAGCATTTACATGATTTGTCTCCACAATCACCTTGGTATAAGCCTATTCCAATTGTTGTGGAATAGGCTTGGTTTAAGACAAGAAAGAGCGCAAATCAATTTTTTAAAAAAAAGTATAAATGATCCAAGATCAGAAATAATGAAAAATTAGCATGTAATAAAATAACTAATGTGTAAAATAAAAATTTTAAATTGCAAGAAAATTCTAAAGCAATTAGTAGGTAACAGTGAATAGCATAAAGGAGGAACCAGGTGTCTTTTAACAATTGCAGTTATGGATAAGAATTTTGCAACCTTCTCAGAGGTTTATGAAAGGTAATCAGCCAGGAGAAGAGTAACAGCCTGCTGGTCACATTGGCAATTAGTGTTATTAATTATTGGAGATGTGAAACCTGATCACCTTTGGGTGTGCAATAGACATTTTAATAGCAGTTGTGAGATAGATTCTACTTCTGAATAAAAACAAGTTCAGCTTTCATATGAGAATCTTATATTTCTGTTATTGCCCTAATATTTGTAGCACCCTAATCTGGGCCAAAGTAAATAGTCTTCTATTGTATATAAGATATTACAGTATTATCTATAGCAGCTGCCAGGGTAATTTTGAAGATATATTTATCTGGACCATCTCCAGTCTTCACCTGATATTCCCTACAGCATTACATCACTTCAGTTAATAGCTGTCATAAAGACTGTATTCTTGTCTCAACAGTGCACATCAGAGACTGGTTTTGTGACTTCTGTGGTAACTCCTATGCCAAAATGTGTTTAAACCCTATTTTATTTGATTCAGAATTACAGGATGCTTTTTATTTATATGGGTTTATATTCCAACCAAGTAAGAAAGCTTTAGAGAGTAGCATTTATTAAAACGTATATGGTTACAGTTTAGTCCCTCATGAATTGCTGATGTACGCCATTTCTTTAAAAAGCTATAAATCATTATAGTGCCATTTTTTTCTTGTCAGTTTTCCAAAGCAAAGTGACTAAACCTTGGAGCCAAAAATGTCTCTGATAGAAAAGAAATGCTACCCAGTTTCAGATATTCTGTTCACTCTAACTTTTTAAAAATATCTTCGAGTTAGTCTTAATTCTTGGCAACCATATAAATGAGTCCATGCAGTTTTGTTGATCAATTTTCAGAAGTGGTTTGTCATTGTCCTCTTCCTATGGCTGACAGAAAGTTACCCAAAGACCATCTAAGTGGTTTCTGTGCTTAAGGCAGGATTAGAATGTTTAGCCTCCCAGCTTCTAATCCAAAGTCGTCGGGTTTTAAAATGTGTGGTGTGAGGACAGGAGCAGAATGAAGAGACACTGATGATTTGTCCTTGAGCATTAAATGAGGTTTTGTGGATTATTGTGATTTTTTTTGTCTTTGAAAATGAAGATGCAGATCACTGTGATCAATTATGTCTGTCTTAGAAAATATATGCAGATCGATCTCATTAAAAGTAGTCCTTGACTTACAACGGTTCATTTAGTGACTGTTCAAAGTTATAATGAAAAAAGTGACATGACCGTTTTTCAAACTTATGACACTTGCAGCATCCTCATGGTCATGTGATCAAAATTCAGACGCTTGGCAACTGACTCATATTTATGATGGTTGCAGTGTGCCGGGATAATATGAACAGTTTTTTATGACGTCGTTAAATGGGGCAAAACTCATTTAGTGAATGTCTTGCTTACCAACAAAAATTTTAGGCTCAATTGTGGTGATAAATCACCTGTATTATCTGTTACATTTTCACAATGGAATTGGCTGGATTATATAATTCCAAAAAAATCTCCCCAAACCCAACAATCCTGAGAAGCTTATTCTTTCTGGAGTTTAAAAGTCCTTTTATGTAAGAAAACAAAGAACGTGAAATAATAAGAAGTGAATAAGAAAATAAATAAGAAAATGAATCAATCCTAAACTATAAGGATCAGCTTATATTAACAATTCAGGATGATTATTTTTCTACCTTGTTTTTAGTTAGAAAATAATTCCCTTTTGTGGGTTTCATACACGTGAGGTAAACAATAAGGTGAATATTGACATGTTCACTTACACATTGATTCAGTAATATTCCAGAAAGGAAAGTTGTTTTTCAAACTGAGCTTCCATCTTATTTAAGCAGTACTATATGGCCACTAATGCTATTGTTGTGTATTAAATATTTAGAATTTGTGGTAACATCTTGTCTTGTTCCTCACAGCTTAGGTATATGCCTCCAGATCGTTCAGTGGATTTTGATTTTACTAGGCGAGGGTTGCTGGTATTTGATGCTGACCCACATCCTGTTGTTAATGGGAACATCCAGAATGATAAGCAAATGGCTCCGCTAATTTCCAGATTTGAAGTGGATGAATTTAATTTGATAATCCAAAAGATGGCAAAGGTAAAATTGCAGTGGTGCAATATATAAAAGTTTCCTTTTTATTCCAAACCGTATGGTTACTAAAGTCAGTTTCTGAATCATGAATTAATTTTTTTTAAACCAAGTCTCATTGCCTCCTTAGCATATATATTCACAGCTTAAGACCTCTCGCAGGTGTAAAGTTCCACCAAGCTTGGTGCTGCTTACCAAAAATATTATTTTGATATTGATTAAGTTTACTTATACTGTATGGCAATTGTAACTCCAATTTGAGACAAGGTGTATGCAATTCGGACACCTCACTTTGTGACCCATGATCCTTGCTTAACAACGGCAATAGAGATTGATGGAATTGCCATTGCTAAGTGATGCAGTCACATAATGTTACACTTCATGGCTGCATTGCTTAGCAATAGAAATTTCTGTCCCAATTACCATCACTAAGCAAGGACTAGCTGTATTTTTAGGAAAAATGTGTGTGTGTGTGTGTGTGTGTGTGTGTGTGTGTGTGTGTGTGTGTGTGTGTATCAGTGATGGAATAACTGTTTACTACCAGTTCTGTGGGTGTGGCTTGGTGGAATATATGTTGTTTTATTTAACGGTTATATTACATTGAACATACCCCAGAACATCTCTTTGAGGGAGATGTTGGGTTTAGGAATATGAAGAGTAAATAAATATAAATAAATGATTGATGTTTTGACCGTGAAGAAAGTGGGACTATACTTTTTAGGTTCTGCAGGTTTGGGGGATTTTTTTTCCACTCATGTTGTAATGCAAATCTTAGTCATCTTTTATTAATAGAAAATGATGTTTTGCAATTGTAGAAATATTGTATTTATAACATTACTTTTCTCCTTCACAGGGCAGGCAAATTGAGTATATAGATATAGAGAAACCATGTAATAGGGGCCTTGGATTTAGTGTGATTGCTCTTAAAAATCAAAGCTTTGGAGAAGTTGGTATCTTTGTGAAAGAAGTACAGCCAGGAAGCATAGCAGCCAGGTAAGAAATTTAGCAAGACTTCTTGATATACTATAAATTAAAATGTTATAGATTTTATAATTTTCCTGGCCAGATGATCACTGGATCAGATTAGAAGAATGCATCTCATGTCAGATTTGTAATGATAAATAGGATAAAGGTGGTATAGATAGTAAAGAATTTTAATGCAGGAAGTCCTCGACTTACAACCACAATTGAACCCAAACTTTCCAGTGCTGAGCAAGAGAATGGTTAAGTGCCCAATTTTATGATCTTTCTTGACACAGTGTTAAGTAGATCAGTGCAGTTGTTAAGTTGATAACATGGTTGTTAAGTGAATCTGGCTTTCCCCATTCACCTTGTCTGTCAGAAGGTCGCAAAGGGTGATCACGAGACCCCAGGACACTACCATTGAATTTTGGTCACATGACCATGGGGAGGTTGCAGTGGTCCTGAGTGTGAAAAATGGTCATAAGTCACTTTTTTCAGTGCTGTTACTTTGGTCACTAAACAAATGGTTTAAGTCAAGGACAACCTGTAGTTCTGTTGTCATGAGTACACAGTATTGTTCTCTGTTAAGAATACATTGAAGAGGTTGATGCAACTTACTTATTTCTTGACATCTTCTGGGAGTTATTTTGTCATGTTTCTGAAGTTCTGATTTCCTGCTGGAAGAGTGAGACATGTCTTCTTTTGCCCTCTCTTGTTCAATAGTCCCAATTATGCTTCTTGGTTTTTAGTGAAATATGGTATGATAAAGAAGTAAAACAAATCAGGGTGGAAAAAGTAGAATAAATCTAATTGATGGACAAGAGGCCATTTGAAAGCATAATCATTGCTGGTGATATAAAGATTATAGTCTTCTTAAATAGAACTGGGTTATTCAGTTAATGACTACTTTATTAACACAGAATTTAATTTCTAAAAGAAAAACATGTCATTGTTAACAGTAATTCATGACCTGATACGTCTTAGATAAACCTGGTCATAAATGCAGATATCTGAATGTTATAGTTGATACACATCCAACTGGTGCAGCACAATTCAGTTGTCTATTTGACATACCTATGAAACCATTGGCAGAGAGTGAGTCACATCATATTTAGACTGGACTAAACCAACCAAATCACAACATTGTTTAGTGCGGTGTGTTGATCAAGCCTTTGTCTGGATTTGGGAATTTGGTGGCAATTTACATTGATCATACCCAACACTGTAACTCACTTCATATACAGATATAATACTGTAGAATAGTGCTGTTTGGCTGGTTGGTTGAATGGCTTTGAATTAGTATGTTATGCGAACCAACCATTGTACTCTACACTTTATAATTTAGCATGCTTTACAAAATCTGTCAATTGTATGTATTCAAAAAATAAGTTCATAAATGGTGACCTAAGAATCTGCTTGCTAATGTTTAATATACATGTGAGTTTTGTTAGTTGAATTATCCTGTAACCCTTTTATGAAAGATTTCTGCAGCACTTTTAACTATGACTTGTGTTTTTTCCAAGGGATCAAAGGTTAAAGGAAAATGATCAGATATTGGCTGTAAATCATACACCATTGGACCTGAACATTTCTCATCAACAGGCAATCCTATTACTCCAACAGTCCACAGGCTCTTTACATTTGGTTGTGGCCAGGGCCCCCACCCAGAGCAGCAGTAGGAACTCCTCTGCTGTGAGTGATGCTATTGTACCAGAAATGGTAAGATAATTTTTTATAAGAATCAAAACATGATTTTGCAAGAATATTCATCACATCTTTGCATGTTAGACAAATTGGATTGTATAATTTTACTCCATGCAGTTTGTTAGGTCAGATTTGTATACTTTTTTTGGAATTCCCTTATTGTTCCCATCATAGGTAACATAATCAGCACTGATGATATTACCTGGTTTGGTAATGAAACATTCCAAGAAAATCACCAAGCTCAGAGAGCGTCAAGGACCCCACAGTTCAACCCTGAGCTACAAATAATTGAAAAATTATCTATTTTCAATCCTGCAATCTAAGATCCTATCAAACACAATGCTTGTTTGGATCAACTCATTGCTATATAAAAAAAATCTTTAAAAAATTAATGTCCTTATATAAAACTGATGCTTCAGGAGGTGGAACAGAACAGCATTTTCCAAAGATAGCAGCATGAGATGGAGCTGCAACAGTGAAGTAGCAGGTTAGCAGTATGGTAAGACCAAGAGGAAGGAAATGAGAAGAGGGCAGGTAGACTGGCAGTAGCATCCTATTATTATTATTATTTTAAAATGCAGGGGTAGAGCCAGCGTGGTTGAGGCTTCAGATGTTGGTCTTGGAACAAAGAGATTCAGGTATTAGTTTATCAGCAGTCATGTAAGCTCACTTGGTGACCTTGGGCTAGTTACTCTCCCTTAAGGTAAAGGTTCCCTCGCACATATGTGCTAGCCGTTCATGACTCTAGGGGGCGGTGCTCATCTCTTTTTCAAAGTCAAAGAGCCAGTGCTGTCCAAAGACATCTCCGTGGTCATGTAGCCAGCATAACTAAAAGTTGAAGGCGCACGGAGCGCTGTTACCTTCCCACCAAAGATGCTTCCTATTTTTCTACTTGTATTTTTTACGTGCTTTTAAACTGCTAGGTTGGCAGAAGCTGGGACAAGTAACGGGACTTGTCTGGGACATGTAACTCCCTTATATGGCACTAGGGATTCGAACCGCCGAACTGCTGACCTTTCCGATCAACAAGCTCAGTGTCTTAGCCACTGAGCCATTACGTTCCTAATTCTCTCTTAGTCCAACCTAATTCACAAGGTGGTTGTTGTGGGGAAAAGTGGAGTGAAGGATAAATTCCCTGATGAATATTGTTGCATGGTAAAATATAGTCCGGTCTGCATCAGGAAACCTCACAAAGAAGATTGAACAAATGGTTCCTGAAACTCAGTCCTAGAGAGTGATTTTCCCTTAAGCCTTGCTATCCTACACCAGGGGTCCCCCAGCCCCCAATCTATGGATCGGCACCAGTCCACAGCATGCCAGAAACTGGGCCCCATAAACAAGCGAAGGCTCATCTGCGAAATGCAGACATCACATGAAACATGGCCCACTCTGATCCATAGAAAAACTTCTCCCTTGGAACAGGTATCTGGTGCCAAAAAGGTTGGGGTCCCTGCCCTACACCAGTGCAATTTTATGAGAAATTCTTCCTCCCACTTTCCTACAAAGCGATACTGGCTGCATTCAATTCCAGCAGCTCAGTCAATCCTGTCAGTTTGAGTTTTCCTTTGACAAGCAAGGACATAAGTGGGTTTTATCATGCCTGCCAGAATATTTCACAGAAGAATCTGGCTAGCCATTAGTAGAAATATGGATGCAGAATAGAGAAAAGTATCTTAGTCAAGATTATATAGCTCATCCTGTTTAGAACCCATTCCAAAAATCACCTGCAGTTTTCTCACTATATTAATCAGAATTTTTCCTACCTGGCCTGTTGTCCCCCCACTAATAAATATAAGGTATGGGTTTTTTTAAAAAAAACCCATTCAATTTTAACTCAGCCCAGTAAGTTAATGTTTTCTGTATTCAATATATCAAGCAGCTGACCAATGTTTAGTTATCTATCTAGTAGATAGCACTGAACCAAATAATCTTTCTTGATTTGAGATCTAGAATCCTCAAATCCACATAACTCAATGTAAAGTTCTTTTCACATGCATAAACACAGATAGGGAAAAATCCCTAATTAGTTTTTTCCCAGCCTATGGAAAACAAAAAGCCACAAATGTCCAGTGCACCAGGAGGCATTGTTTTGTTATGGAATTGTTGTGAAATTCCCTCAGCCACCATGAATGTTTAGGCTGTTGAGTGCATTCCAGGAAGAAAACGTAAACTATGTATGAATGCTGCTTGCTTCATTTCAGTGTGTTGTTCTGATTAGGTCCAGGTAATCATTGTATTTCAATGTAGTTTCCATACTCATTTGTAAACAGGCATAGCAATGCATTATTCCATGTTTCAGAGACACTAAAAAAAACGGTTTGAAGATATTCTCCCTTCTTGTCTCCTTTATGGTGTTTCAGATAAAATTTTTGTGTTCAGTATAACTAGTCTAATGTTTTAATTAGAAATGTTTCAGTAGAAATTTATGGTATGATGTAATAAAACATGTTATGGGATCTTTCTGCATAGTTACCATGTTCTCCATCAATCCACCTTATTAGAATTGCATGAGCCACTGGATCTCATGTATACTCCAGATGTTGTAACCACAAAGAAGAGACTTTTACAATAGCTGAGTTGCTGGGGAAAATACCGAGTACTTATTTTATTGTATGGATTGGAGGTGCTATGGTAAATGTTTTTAACGTTTTAATGTTTTGAAAGATCACTGAAAAATTACTTTTCTATTTTTATAGGTCAATTGGGGCCACACTGAAGAAGTTGAACTGATTAATGATGGCTCAGGATTAGGTTTTGGAATTGTAGGAAGAAAAACAAGTGGTGTGGTGGTACGGACTATTGTTCCTGGTGGACTAGCAGACAGGGTAAATTTGTTTACAATTCTCTGTCTCTCTCTCCCCCTCCTTCCTCCCTTCCCCCCTCTCCCTCTCTCCCTCTCTCTCTCTCCCTCTGTATTTGTACATAGTTAATTGTTCTGACCCCTTCCTCCGTCCAGTAACAAAAGCCGAGACAAGCTTAAATGGAATGCCCTTTAATAACAAGACCAGAATCTCGGTGGCAGAAAGCCAAGTAAACAAACAGATAAGGACCTTGTCAGCAAGTCTGACAAACCTTGGCAGCAATTCAAACAAACTTTGGTAGCAATCCAGCCTGCCAAGTTAGTTTCTCTTTAGTCAAAGCATTGACTTCTGCAAG